GCCCCCTCCCCACCTCTGGCCTTGGGGGCTGACCTCTGGCTGTTCTACAGATGCCCCCAGCTCAGCTCTGTCTTCACGGCCTTTGTCCTTGCATTCCGAGGGCCTGAGCCACCACTCACAGCTGGACCTCAGCTCCACCGCCCCAGACTCCTCCCCTGCCTTGGCGAGGATCCGCGAGACTGTCCCACCCGCTCGGCACAGATCCTGGCACACAGGGCCGCCCTGTAAGTGTCCTCTGAATAAATGACTGACTGAAGAGAGAAAAATCGCTCAAAGCCATCAAATCAAAGGCTCTGGCGGTTGCTGCGGTTCCTGCTGTCTTTGAGTAGATTCTGACTGATGGAGACCCCGGGGGCCGATTACCCATAAGCAAGAGGAACAGGGGCAAATGCTGTCTCCTGGGCACTCCGCCCTGTCAGGGACTGAAAATCTAAAAAGAGGCTTTGTGTCTGCAGGACTGCCACGCGGCTGGGAGACAGACAGCTGTCAGGTTGTCTGTCAGCAGAATCCCTGACGTGGTGAGGAACTGTGAAGTCGTTCAGGACAGGTTAGTAAGTGGCACAAGCAAGGCCCTGCTTACCTCGTTGTTATGTGCTGTCGAGTCACCTGCGACCCATAGTGACCCTGTGAACAGCAGCTCTGAAGCCTGCCCTGTGCTGAGCCAGTGTCACTGACCCCAACGCACCTACCCCGACTGTCCTAGTCACCGCATCAATGCATCTCACCTGGGGTCTTCCTCCTGTGCTGTCCCTCCACCCTTCTGAGCATGATGTCCTTCTTCTTCCCTAATGACTGGTCCTTCCTGGCCACATGTCCAAAGTATGTGAGATGGAGCTTCAAAAGCCTAGCTTCCAAGGAGAAACTTGGTTTCACCCTCTCCAAGACGGACCTATTTGGTTTTCTTGGAGGTCCATGGTATGTTCAAGACTCTTCTCCAGCACCACAACTTGAAACCTTGATTCTTCTTAGTCATCTTTAGTCATTGTCCAGCTCTCTGATGTTGCAGACCGAGGGTCCCAAAGAATAGAATAATTTTATAATAAAGAGACAAACAGCCAGGAATGAGATAGAGCAGAGAGCGTAAAACAGGGGGTCAGCAGTTCTCGACTGAAGACCTCGAGCCATGCTTCTCTGAGTATTTATATAGAATCACAAGGAAGTACAAAACAAAGGATAATGGTGAAATCTTTTACAGATAAGGCCAAGTTCCTCTTTATGTTAATCTCAAGAGGGAGGGATTCATTAGATAAAAACTAAAAACAATGTTGACTCCTAAGGAATGTCCCAGTGTCACAAAGTGACCTTTAGCTTGTATTAAGCCTCCCTCATTTCCCGATACAGCATTTGGGCTACTATTATTAAATTTGATATTTGGCTTCCCTCACTCTGAGACAGTACTTGCGAAGACTATGGCCTGGATCAGGTGCACCTTAGTCTCTAGACTGGCACTGCTGCATTTCAGTCCTCTGGAGAGATCTCTGACAGCAGGTTTTCCCAGTGTAATTAGTCTTTTAATTTCCTGCCTGCTTACCTTGTTTACTGGCAAATCTGACATCACTGACCCCCAGGTACAGAGCAGAACTGCTTCTCTGAGCTGGTCAAAATGTAAACTTTCAGCAACAGGCTGCTAGGCCCTCCAGGGTGCTGCTTGGTGGGTTTGAACCAGCAGCCTCTCAGCTAGTGGTTGGGCACTTAACTCTCTGTGCCATCCAGGGCCTCATTTTGGCTGTTGTTGATTATGTGCCCTCAGGGTGACGACACCTAAGGGAGTCCTGCGAGCTGTCTTGTCCTGAGCCACTTTCACTGTCACCAACAGGCCAGGCCCACTGTTGCCGACACTGTATGAATCCACCTTGTCTCCTGTGCTGACCCTGCACCTTTCCCACCATGGTGTCTTCATCCAAGGACTGGACCCTTAGACTCCAAGGATACGAGGTTTTACCACTCTTGTCTCTAAGGAGCACCCAGGTTTCACCCCGTCCATCTGGAGAAGGACTAATTCAATATTGGATATATTCACCTCAGAGAAGCTGCAGAGTTAAAAATGACAAAATATGGTCATTCCAGCATGTGACAGAGGAGGAGCATGGAGGGCAACTGCAGGGTCCCTCTCAGCCGCCAGAGGAGTGGGGGCGCTGATGGTGAAGAGGGGGGAGCCAGCCTGGGGAGGACAAACTCAGTGTTCTCAGTGAGCAAACAGCTTGGTCCAAGGCCCCCTGTAGGGACGAGCTCGCCGTGTCTGCTGACGGGGCGGCACTGAGTGTGTGGGTTCCTGGTCAGGTCCCACGGGGGCAGGTGGCTGTCTCTATCAGCCAGAGGTGATAAAGTGGAACTGCTGTGCCGGTTTTCTGATGCCGTAATCTTTACACACACAGACAGATGCCTTATCTTTCTCACTTGGAGCAGCTGATGGGTTTGAACTTCTGGGCTTGGAGTTAGCAGGTGAGCATTTAACGGATGTCTTCAGAACTCCTTCTATAGTGATCCTGAAAGGTGGGGGCAGGGAGGCTGTTGATGGGTCCCTCATTTGTGGATTCGTGCCTGAGTAGGGCTATGATGTGGCTTCACCGTTAGCCCAGCCAGCTCTCTGTGGACACGGAAAGTGGCTCTGTCTGCCCCAGCTGATGTGCAGGTTTGAGGGATGCAGGGACACTCACCGCATGTTGAAGGGTGCCATCAGCCGCACCACGTACTGCCGGTCTTTGGGGAGCTTGAGCTTGGGGATCTTCGAGGGGTCAAAGTCTGGCGGGTAGTATTTCTGCAGGGACAAGGGAATGCTGGGGTGAGTTGCCTGCAGACATGGAGGCAGGACCCTAAGTCTGCCCTCGGAAACCTCTGCGCTGCGCCCCGCTCCCTCACCTGCTGTGTGCCCGGCTCCCTCACCTACGCCTATCAGGATGCGGGACACCAGGTCTTTGAGGGGAGCCACCCGGTGGGTTTGAACTGACATCCTTCAGTCAGCAGCAGAGAGGAAACCTTTTACTAGGGGAGCCCCTAGGACTCCACACATAACTAACTGACTGATTGATTACAACAAAAAGACAGAATACAACCAGCAAGGGAGGGTGAAGAGCCAGGGGCCAGCAGGCTCGGAGCCCAGCACCCTCTCCACCTGGGAGGGAACGGGGCAGGGGGGAGGCTGCACTTAATGCCCAGCAACGCGGTCAAAGTTCAGACAGCCGGAGTGAAATGTCCACCACGAAGCTCGCTAGTCAGTGTCCCAGGCTGTCACTGGGAGCTGGTCACGTGTGCACCTCTGCTAGCCACGTGGGTCACTGTGGTCTAACACAACACATGTGCCTCTGTGCCCGACACGTGTGCACTTTATACCTGGCATGTATGCCTTGTGGCTGACACATGTGAACCTTGTGTTTGACCTGTGTGCCCGTCAGGATCCGGAGGGAAAGCAGACACTCGAGTTGACCAGTGTCTGCACTCTGGGCTCTGTCAACAGGCTGACCAGGAAATGGTGGGAACTCTCTGCATGTTTAGTTCCCCGCTGCCAACGGCGCCAACCTTACAGGCAGGGTCTCCTAGGCCGGCACACTCAGGCATGCTGTGACAAGGACAACTCTTTCCTGTACAGCGGCCCCGAATGGGAGACACAGGAAGGGTGAATTTTGATTCTGAAGAATGATGCCCTTAGACAGAAAACAAAGTTCCAGACCCTGCACTGGGCACTGTCCATGCCCTGCCTCGGTGAATCCTTGGGAGATTCCAAGAGAGTGGAAAGGGTACCCATTTTATAGAGGCGGACACAGAGTCCCAACAGTTTTGGCAACTCACAGAGCATGAATAGCCGAGCCAGGACTGAACCCAAGGTCTCAAACACAAGGTGACTTAGTGATCGGGGGACCCGGATGGACTGTAGGCTGGAGGGTTTCAGTTCAAGTCCTCCACTTCCTAGCAATTAATATCCTATTTGAACATCAGTCTCCTTAAAATCTATCTACACACAAACTCAATTATAAGGACTCGATGAGTAAAGCATAGCGCCTGCCTGTCACATAACAACAGAAACACCTACGGTAAGTCAGGGAAAGGAGGTGTTGGGTTATGTGGTGGGGCTGCAGACTGAGAGGCTGGTGGTTCGAATCCACCAGCTACTGGACAGGAATAGTGGGATTTTGTTGCCTAAGTGACAGAAAGGAGCCACAGTAGAGGAAAAACGGACTGGCGGTTGAAAGAAAAGTCAGCGGTTCAATGTGTTCTGTGGGAGGAAAGAGAGGCTGGTCTGCTGCTGTTAAAACTGCTGCCCAGGGCAAGCTCTGGTGGCCTAGTGGCAAGAAGCTGCACTGCAATCCAAGAGGTGCAGTTCGAATCCACCAGGTGCTCTGCTGGAGAAGGAGGGACAGTCTCCTCCTGTACCAGTCAGATCTGATTTGACGGTACACACACAAAAAAATAAAATTTAACCCCCCCCCCAAAAAAAAAAACCACCCCTGCTGCCCAGAAAATTTTATGCGGCGCTGTATGCTCGGGGACGGGGGACCTGTGTGTGTGTTCACTAGGAGTCGGAGATCAACTAAAAACCAAGAAATAACAAATGTTAGTTTGCCTGCCCGGGGAATGAATGAAAGGGGTAGGCAACTTCTCCAAGTCACATGACTTGATGGAGATTCAGGGTGGTGGTTGTGTGTCGCCAACAACTCCTAGCAGAATCCTAGCTGGTGGGTTTTCAAAGGCGGTAAATCGCATGGGACATTGCCCATCTTTCTCCAGCGGAGCAGCTGGTGGATAGTCTGTCTTTGGATCACAATGCTCCTTGAAGTGAAAGGGAGAGAAGCAACATCAATGTTCCCACGGGAAGCCCGGCTCCCAGAAAATAACTGATTTCCTTCCGACAGTCCACTAAGAGAGTGATTGGATAGATAACGGAGGCTCCGCCCACGCCCACGCAGGTGATTGGGTATATGCCCCCCGAGGGGTGGGTCCTTGGGAAGAGTTGAGAAGCCCCGCTTTGGCAGAGTCGGTGGGAGAAGCTCCGTCCCCGGGGAAGCTGCAATAGATCATACAAAGCCCAGCTCTGCCAGAGCTCTGACGTGGCCCACGCCCGATGGAAAAACCTAGGCCCGCAACACTTACATTTAAAACTTTTCGCTCCGACATTGTGGCCTCCTATTGCTCTCACAAGAACAGACACAACTGATCAGACTGTAATAGCGTTCCCACCATTGGCTGAGGGCTTCCCCTAACGTCACTTCCCCTAGTCGCCATTATTGGCTGCAGGCTCTAAAACTTGTTTTTTCATTGGCTCAGATTCCCGCCTGTCAAAAATGAGAACCTGACTAGTGTCCCTCGGCTTGCAACCCTGGTAGTGTGGCGCATTGGTTCCGGTGTTGGAGTGCGCATTTGGGTACGTTCCCAGGGAAGCGGCGCCCCCTGGAGTTCTTATATATATATACAGCCCCTCGTTAAAATTTTGACACCTGGCTTCAATGCAATAAATACCATCTAATTCATCATGATAAATGTAGAAAAGATTGACGTTGCCAACGATTTCTTTTTGCTTGGATCAACAAACAACACGCTTGGTACCAGTAGTCAAGGAAGAAAAAGTCGGTTGGGGGCCCGGTTAATCATAGGGTTGAGCAATTTGATGAGGGGTGTGTGAAGGAAATGGGAAAAATGAGTGTGAAAATCAATGTATTTTGAACTTTATAAATAAACCAGTATAATTTTTTTTAATTCCCAATTTATCAAATATACTGGAATAAAGCAATGCTCTAGTATTTCCTATATCACCATATTAGTACTATTGCACACGGGAGTGGCATCCATTGTCTCTGGAAACTATGAACTTTGAGAAACGACACTATATAAAAAAGCTTTAGGTCTTTTGTTCACAAGGTCGCTATGAGTACTGCTCGACTCGATGGCAATCAACAACGACAACAACATACTAGTAATAACAATAAAATGCAACTTAATTTAAAAAAGAAACAAAAAATCGTACTTCACTTGGAAAATATTCTATCAGAGGCCTTTGATATCTTGTGATAGAGCACAAGGCTTAAGGAGCAACGTTATCAGTTTAAAGACGAAGGTGCACCCAATTAAACCATAATCTATTCCTTTATTGATAGGCATATGAAAACTGGACAATGAATATAGATGACAGAAGATTTGATGCTTTTGCGTTGTGATGTTGGAGAAGAATTCTGAATAGCCAATGGACTCCTTAAAAAACAAACTTTTTAAAAAATCTGTCTTTTTAATTATTATTAATTTCAATAAAAATTTACAGGGACTTTGAATTTCCATTCATTCATTGTTGCATTTTTCTTCTCTCCCAACCTCCCCCCAGTACACTCCCCTCTTGGAAGAGTAAAAGAAAAATTCTTTCATTGTTTTACAATCCTTCCCTCCAGGTCCACTCCACTATGCAACCAGGTCCACTCCACTATGCAACCAGGTCCACTCCACTATGCAACCAGGTCCACTCCACTGTGCAGCCTCTGCTCTGGACTCCCGTCATGACAAAATTACCTGATCACATATCTCTTTTAAACAGTTTTCTCACTCATCTGATTCAATGCAGTATACATTATTTATCCCATCTTTCTCAGTCTCCCCCCAACAACAGTGGCACTATGCATTATTTGTCCTTTTGTGAGTGAGATATTTCACTCAGCATAATGTCCTCCAGGGTCACCCATTTTGAGTAATATTTCATGAGTTCTTTGTTTTTCAACGCAGCGTAGTATTCCATTGTATGAATATACCACAGCTTCTCTATCCATTAGTTTGTTGATGGGCACTTAGGTTGTTTCCAATTCCTTGCTATTGTGAACAAAGCTGTGATAAACATGGGTCTGCATATATCTGCTTGAGTGGCAGTTATGGTCTCTTTGGGGTATATTCCCAGTAGTGGAATTGCTGGGTCAAATGGTACTTCTATTTGCAACTTTTTGAGGAAGTGCCACACTGCCTTCCACAGTGGTTGCACCAAGAATAAACATTTTTTGGAGAAAGGGCAAACAGGGTATTCCTTAGAGACAAGGATGGTGAAATTTCATCTCTCTGGGTATGTTATTAAGTGGACTCTACCCTATCTTTAACCCATGGAACAGCTGGTGGTTTCAAACCACTGACCTTTTGGTTACCACCTCACCTCTAGTGGCATTATGCCACTGGGTCTTGTTAGGATCTTTTCAGAAGATAATAAATAGGACGGTGGTCCAAACTAAAGGTTGACTGTTCTGAGGGAGAAAGACCTGGAGATACACTTCTGTAATAATTGTTGTTCCTAGGTTCTGTTTAATTAGTTCCAATTCATTACTTTATGTGCATCACAATGCACATAAATACCCCATCGTTGTCTAGACTGCATCGGTCTGTCTTGCTGAGTATCTTCCTCTACATAACTAAGCACCATGTCTCTCTTTAGACATGACTCCCTCCTGATCTCGTGTCCAAACGTCAGTGAGATGAAATCTCACGATCCTTGTTTCTAAAGAACATTCTGATGGTCCTTCTTACAAGAGCTTTACTCCACCATCTCTTTCCAAAGATGTAATCAATTTCGTTCCTGTGTGTTTCATTCAGTAACATTCATGTATAAAGTAGGCATTTATATCATTAAAGAAGATATCTCTAATTAATTCATTAATTGTAGCTAAGAAAACCTGTGTCATATGGGATCATTATGAGTTGAAATTGGCACAGTAGCAACTGACAACACAACAACAACAACAACATATTCTATGTAATAAATGAAGGTGATGTACAGGAAGTGCTGGGCAGGATCCTGTGTTACACGGTGTATGAGCTGCCTACTGCCTTTGTAACAAATCACCAAAAATGCAGTGGCTTCAAAGAAAACAAAACTTCAGTCTTATAAACTCAGAGGTCAGAAGCCTGAAATGGATTGCTGGGACTTCATCCTTTTAGTGGCTCCAGGGTGGCTCCTTGTGTTTTCTACTTTCTAGAGACCACCTGCTGTCCTTGGCTTATGGTTCCACATGACTCTGGGCTCTGAGTCCTTCCTTATGGGAAGCCAATACTAAATAAGTTGTAATAAACTGAAAGCTCTTTCAGGATGTGAGGGAGGTTCAGGATGGAATTCACCCTAAGGTACTAAGGCAATCCTTAAGGGTTTACCAGATTCTTGCATTTGCTGACCCCTCCCTCCTGAGTCAAGGGAAAGGTTTTCAATAGAAAGAGTGTGGCTTCATTTGTGTTGAATTATCTTTGTGATTTACTTCCTGATAATTTTCAGTAAAAGATACAGGGGAGCTGGGATGGGGGTCTTCAGTGAAGAACAGCTGGCCCCCTGTTTTTCATGCTCTCTGTTCTATCTCATTCCTGGCTATCTGTCTCATTAATAATTATAAAAATATTTTACCCTCAGTCTGCAACACTTCCTCACATTGCCTGCTTTGACTCCCTCTGTATTCAGGGCACTGACTCGAGGGAAGGCTGTCTCTCTCTAGCAGCCCTGGAGGACGTCCATGTCTGCTTTCAACATCTATGGGCTCCGTATTCCTTGGAGATCCATGCTATGTGACATCAGTCTTCCCCCTGGGTCTAGAAGGTTCTCCTAGTCCAAAGATGGGAACTCCTAGTCCAAAGATGCACTCTGCTCCCAGCTCTTCCTACCTTCTCTACTTGCTTCCCTCTGTTGTTGCCCTCGAGTCACTTGCGACTCATAGCGACTCTATGTACAAGAGCCCTAAACCCTCCTTTATCCTGTGCCAACCTTATTGTCTCTGACACACCTACTCCCATTGATAGGGTGGTATTAATAAGTTCAGATTTCTCTATATAGGTATCAGTTATAAGACTATAGTTGTTTTTCTTCAGCCTGCAAAACTAGTTGCTTAGCCTCTGAATTCTCTGTTTCCTGTCTTTAGTCATGTAGAGTAGTCTGTTTACCAGTAGAGGAAATGCATCTATTCTAGATGCTGGTGAAGCTGGTTCTCCAGTCATATGTAAACAGTATGTTAATCTGCTTGTTTACCAGGAAGAGAACTGGGGCCTTCCTGAATTGCTTATATATAGCTGAGAACTGTCCTTTTCAGATGTAGAAATTACCTTTTTTTACTAACAAGTGCATTGTTAAACGAGCTGGAGTTTCACCCTAGTATATAAGGCCATGGCCACTCCCAGACGGGGAGGCAGTCTTGGAGGTGACTCGCCGTCTCCCAGATCTGTGTAATAAAGTGCTTATGGATATTGCAATCCATTTGTCTTATTGGCGACTGACTATGGAAAGAACCCCTTGCGTTCAGTAACACCATTACCCTAATCACTGAATCTATCCATCTAATCAAGGGTCTTCCCCTCCTGCGCCATCCCTCCACTCTCCCAAACATAATGCCCCTCTCCAAGGACTGGTCCTTCCTTGTAACATGCCCAAAGTCTGTCAGATGAAGCTTCAGAATCCTTGACTCCAAGGAGCAGCCTGGCTTCACCCTCTCCAGGACAAACCTGTTTGTTCTCCTAGCAGTTCATGGTATATTCAACATTATTCTCCAGCACCACAGCTCAAAGGCATCAATTCTCTTTCTATCATCCCTAGTCACTGTCTAGCTCTCTGATGCAAAGTATGCAATTGCAAAGACTATAGCCCTCTCTTTTAATCTCTTGTTAAGTAAGAGATGATGCAAACCACATCCAGGGAAGTGCCTCTTTACAAGCTGTGACATGAGTGAGTGGGCTGCATCTCACCCCAGTCCTTTTACACTGTGGATCAAATCAGCTCATCAAAGGGGATTGACTACATCATTGCATAGCTACCGCACCACTGGAAATCACAGTCCATCCACACTGACATCTATTTGGGGGGATACAATTCAATCCATGACAGAACCTCTTGTTTCCCTATTATAGGAGCCCTTGTGATTACATCATCCAATAACCCAGAATAATCCCCTAGACCAAGAACCTCACTTTAATCACATTAGCAGAGTCCCTTTTGCCTTGCATGCAGGTTCTGGGGATTATGACAAGGACATCTTTGAGGGGCTTTATTCTACTGGCCAAAATGGACATTCAGGGCTGGCCTCTCTTTGGGTTGGACATAAATGAAATGTACACAAGCCCTTGGACATTGTCTGATCTTCAAGGCCTTGCTGTTCCATCTTCTCAGAGAAACCTTCCAAGCC